ATCACGAGGTGATGCACAGAATAGTGTAGCATCACGAGATGGTGCACAGAATAGTGTACATCACGAGATGATGCACAGATTGGCCTCTAAAACACAAGTTCAGTTTACGCACCGTATACCTGACAAGTATCACGAGATGATGCACAGAATAGTGTACATCACGAGATGATGCAGAGATTGGCCTTTTAAAAACACAAGTTCAGTTTACGCACCGTATACCTGACAAGTATCACGAGGTGATGCACAGAATAGTGTACATCACGAGGTGATGCAGGCAGAATAGTGTACATCACGAGATGATGCACAGATTGGCCTTTTAAAAACACAAGTTCAGTTTACGCACCTTATGCCTGACAAGTATCACGAGGTGATGCACAGAATAGTGTATATCACGGCTCCCTATCTCTCTCCCTGCCAGCCATCACGCTCCCCCTTCCTCTTCTCCCTCTAACCATCACGGCTTCCCTCTCTCCCCTAAACCATCACGGCTTCCTCTCTCATCTAACCATCATGCTTTCTCTGTCCTCAAACCGTTACGGCGTCCGTCCCTTCTCCCCTCTAACAATCATGGCTTCCTCTCTCACTCTAACCTCACGGCTTGCCTTCGTCGCTTCTCGCCTTCTAACCATACACGGCTCTTCGCTCTACCCCTCACGCTTCCCTCCCCTAACCCTCATGGCTTCCTCTTTCTCTCTAACCATCACAGCTCCTCTCTCCCCTCTCAACATTGTACGAGCTCTATACCTCTCCTGCAAGGTGCACAGGTGATGCACAGAATAGTGTACATCACGAGATGATGCCACAGAAATAGTGTACATCACGCGAGATGATGCAGAGATTGGCCTTTGAAAAACACAAGTTCAGTTCCGCACCGTATACCTGACAAGTATCACGAGGTGATGCGCAGAATAGTGTACATCAGCGAGTGATGCACAGAATAGTGTACATCACGAGATGATGCACAGATTGGCCTTTTAAAAACACAAGTTCAGTTTAGCACTTTAGCCTGAAAAGTATCACGAGGTGATGCACAGAATAGTGTATATCACGGCTCCCCTTCCTCTCTCCCTCCAGCCATCACGGCTCCCCCTTCCTCTCTCCCTCTAACCATCACGGCTTCCTCTCTCCCTCTAACCATCACGGCTTCCTCTCTTCATCTAACCATCACGGCTTCTTCTCTCTCTCTAACCCTCATGGCTTCCTCTCTCCCTCTAACCATCATGGCTTCTTCTCTCTCCCTCTAACCATCACGGCTTCCTCTCTCCCTCTAACCATCACGGCTTCCTTTCTCCCTCTAACCCTCATGGCTTCCTCACTCTCTCTAACCCTCATGGCTTTCTCTCTCTCCCTCTAGCCCTCATGGCTCTCCTCTCTCTAACCCTCATGGCTTTCTCTCTCTCCGTCTAACCAACACGGCTTCCTCTTTCTCTAACCATCACGGCTTCCTCTCTCCCTCTAACGATCATGGCTTCCTCTCTCCCTCTAACCATCACGGCTTCCTCTCTCCCTCTAACCGCATGGCTTCCTCTCTCCTCTAACCATCACGGCTCCTCTCTTCCTCTAACCGTCATGCTTCTCTCTCTGCTAACCGCTCATGGCTTCTCTCTCTCCCTCAACCAACACAGCTTCCTCTCTACCTCTAACCATCATGCTCTTCTCTCCCTCTAACCATCACGGCTTCCTCTCTCTCTATAACTATCACGGCTTCCTCTCTCCCTCTAACGATCACAGCTTCCTCTCTCCCTCTAACCATCACGGCTTCCTCTCTCCCTCTAACCATCATGGCTTCCTCTCCCCTCTACCATCATGGTTCCTCTCTCCCTTCTAATCATTACGGCTTCCTCTCTCCATCTAACCATCATGGCTTCCTCTCTCCCTCTAACCATCATGGCTTCCTCTTCCTCTCTCGTAATTAATAGTGTAATTAGTAATTAGTAATTAATAGTGTAATTAGTAATTAGTAATTAATAGTGTAATTTAGTAATTAACAATGTAATAGTAATTATAGTGGTCCTTAATAAAGCAATAGTGTATTGGTAATAATAATAATCATATAATAAAAATAATAAATAACACAACATAATTTTTAGTGGTAATAATAGTAGTATTTTTTTGTCCATATGGTGCGCTTTTTAGGCATGGCTATGTGGGCAGTTAGCCGTGATGTTTTTTCCCTAGGTCAATCAATGAACATAGGCTGTAAATGACGCGCGCTATTGGTTTGAGCTTTGGTTTTTCTGCGCGATATTGACATAGGCACATCCAAAATGTATTAATTATCGATATAACTCGATAGCCTAACGGGTTTTACGCTGGCCGTCAGTAGAAAGACGTGGGATGTCCCATGTTCGTTTGCTAATTATTTTTCTGTCTATGTATTGTTCTAATCTTTATCTGTCTAATCATTTTTTTTCCAAATTAACGCAAATATTTACATGATTTATTTACAGAGGGCGACGATGATTTAAGTAACGAGCAATTGTACTTTTGTGTTTAACACGAGCAGATATAAAGCAATCTAATATTTTTTATAGTATTTGTTTAAAGTGATTACGCACGAATTCTAGCACCGCCACGTCAATAAGTATCTTGTGTGTGTATTGTACAAATAAAATGTATTGTAAATACAATTAGTGTTTCTGTTTACATTTCAGCTTATATACCGCTTCTTTATATGCCCTAATTTGCCGGTGAAAAACAGAGAGAACACGCAAGTATCTGACAGTAACTGGGGGAATAGTGTTCAGACACACAACAGAAATTACTCAAATCGTCTAGATTTTTGCAAATTGTAACAGCAACGTAAAAACATTTTTATACAGTATGAGAGTTTGTGAGGATCATATTTAGTAAGTCTAGTTCTTCTTTAATTGTCAAAAAATGCAATTTTTTTTTAGCCAATTTTACCATGGAAAGTTCGTGACGTAGTCAATTTAAAATAGGGTTGGTTAAGAGGTTAGATTAGGGTTAGGATTAGGGTAGGGTCTGAGGTTAGGGTTAGGGTTAGGGTATAGGTTAGTTAGGGTCACAATGCAGTTGAATTGCTCACCAGTAAAACAGGAGTTTTGAGTGCACGGTTGATTTGATATCAACCATGCGCAGCGGCTCGTAGAGTGCCCTAGTTCTTGATTTGGACCTAGCAAAAAAAATCACGCGGCAGTTAACATTTGTGGCATCAACCTTGATATATGGAAGGTCTGTTGCATAGTGGCTGACATAGGAAATCTGTGCATCAACTTCTGATATAAGGTCCTAAAATGGATTGCACCCTGGCGATCAGTGGCAGTGACCACACCATAGATATCATATCATTGCAAGCTGCTCAAGAAACGTATTGCTAGGGTTAGAATAACCCTATATTGACGTTGGTGTTATGACGTTATCACACAGCCTGGTCGGTGTTAATATTGCCTATGGATCACACATATCATATACAAGCCGTTCACGTGACAACAATATGGCAAGCTTCCTGCCAAAGTTTGTTTGCTAGAATTCAAATATTAATATTAATACCGTCCGTACGGAGGCCGGCAAAGAACTATGTCGTGTTATTTTAACGGACATAATAATATCAGGCGAATATCTCATAATTGCGCTAAAGATAGTGTTCAAAGTCATAGGGCGGTACTAATCGAAGAGCGAAAGTCTCATATGACATTTCGGTTCAAGGATAAAGAACATGGGTCCCAATAAAACCATGATTCCATTTACATCAATATAAAGATAATATTATTCAATATAATGAAGGTTAGGTTATGGTTAGGTTAGGGTTAGGGTTAGGCTATAATTGTTTTTTATTGGGACCATGCATGTTCTCTATTCCTTGGGCCGACATTCTTCAAACTGGCCAGGCGTTCAAATACCGACTGTCAATAAATAGTCCTAATAATTTATGCGGCCACATGCATTTATGCTTAAATAATAATGTTTTTATGCCACATTGTCATAAACTGAGAAGAGCACTCTGTGGCATGCATGTGACACTGAGATGTTGTACTGGTTACGGGGTGGCCCTAGCGGCCAAGGATAGAGAAATGGGTCCCAATGAAACCAATGTGCCTAACCCTAACCCTAACCCTAACCTATTATATTGATATAATGATTATATTTATATAGATGTAAATGACATTGGTTTTATTTGGACCCATGTTCTCTATCCTTGAACCGCTCTGGCGGCTCATATCTTAGTCTAATAGCCTTCGCTCCGCACAGCCACATGCGTGTGGTGGAGCAAGGGCTATAGTATAGAGCTAGGCACGGGTAAACTCGACTCACCCGCCACCTTGGTAATTTGTAATAAGCGTTTGTAATAGGGAGTGGCTGGAGTGTACCGGCAGCCGTCGTTTGTGAAGCCCCTTTGGCGTTTGTTTGAGGCTGAGGCAATTATTTGGGACTTCTGATTTACGTTTACAATAATGTTCATATTTCATACTTAATCCGAGTGTTTCTAGCTCATCCAAACTCTCAAATCGTGAATTTTATTCCCAAGGCATTATTTCGAAATCTGCGCCACACGCTGCCATCTTGTCTCGTTAAGTATGAAAGCGAATGGACTGCCGTACTTCCAGCTTTGTAAATTAGAGATACGGCTGCGGTACCTCCAGCCACGACTTTGTAATAAGCTGTAAATAATTTTTGTTTCCCTAAAATGGCATAAACTTGGTTTCTTCAAGGATATAGAGAGCAGTCCACAATTCATTTTCACATATGTGCACATGTGCAAAATGTGCAAATGTGGACACCTCTTATATCCTTGGGCCTAAACTTGTATACTTTTATGTGTTTGTGTATTATGATAAGGGTTGTGTGATGATTATAGTAAGAGTATATATACATTCTGAGATGGTTAATTATTTTGTGAAACTGAAAGAAGTTACCAATGCGTTAGAAGTATAACACCAATTAAAAATCATTTATTGATTGTACAAAAACGAGCATTCGCATTTCTGCAATGGACAAGTAAAAGAATTGTTGGATTCAAGAGCTTCTCACATTTGTAGTCTCACAATCTTTATGGCAGCTCCTGCTATTACACCAAGACTTGCACTTCAGTGTGACTGGAGTGATGTTTTATTCAGGTAAGAAAATACCATATATGTTGTAATGTTCTGAGCGACCTTTTCACTTAAGCGACCTTTTTTACATAAGTGACAATAAAGGTCAGAAGTTATCTGACGAGTGATCCCCGCCGTAACTCACGCATTAGTCTTTTCTCTCCATTCTCCTGTTACAGATGCTACATTTGGCGACGAGGATTTTCGGATCTATGTGGACATATTAATCAATATCAGTCCCGTGTGGAATATTCAAATCATGCCGTTAAGTGCAAAGGAAGTAAAATCAACCGTTCTTGATGAGGACGTCGTGCTAGTCATCGAAGAACAATAATTTGAAAAATCCATATGCGT